GCAGCCTGCAGGCCAATGTATACATATAATTTTAAATGTATATTATATTATATAGAAAATAGAGTTAGAGAGGTCACGAGAGCAGCAATGCAACCCCACATATATATATATATCTAGATCTATATTTTCGCATCTGTACAACGCTTGTATCTTTACTGTTTGGACATCGGAGGACCACACACTCGACTCTATCACGTTACTTCAGTCAAATAGCGGCTGCATTCGCTCGCTTAGCTTCAAACAAAACTCCCCATAAAACAAAAATTAAACTTGTATTAGTATTTGGCACACAACAGCCTGCCTGCAGCCTTCATTTCAATGACTCATGATTAACGACTTTATGTATATTTGAGAGTCATCACTGTATAGAGGAGCCCATTTCTCTATCTTTTAAGTCTCTATATTTTAGGAAGTGAATAAAGAGCATAATTGTAGTTGAGTGTTTTCAACTTTTCCCGAATTTTAGTGTCTAGAGAGGGAGCCCAAAGAAGATTAGTCGACTGGAGCTCAAGCGGCTTAAAGGCTAGCTCATCAAGTACAATTAATTATAAGTTTCTAAAAGAGCGAGACAGAGAGAGTCTTGTGATGCATTTATGATGGTGTTTCTAAGCCATTAACCAAGCACTGATCATCCAGGTTTCAATTGTCTTGTAGGACCAGCTAGCTAGCTGTTCTCTCTCTTCTCTCTAAAATCTGGACACACATGCCCGCACAGGGAGAGAGAGAGAGAGAGAGAGCTGGTCCACCATAGCTGGCCAAGTTGCAGTAGTTGTGTAGTAATGCAGCAAGCAACATATATATCATCATAGTGGAAGAGGCCACACGCATTGCAGGCTACTAGCATAATTGAAGGCTTCAATATCTGCACCTGCAGCAGCTGAGAGTTAGTTATATATATATATATAGAAAAGAAATCTATACTCTCTATCCACAGGCGGGCCTTTGGTTCTGTATGGTTATGCAAAGCTCAATGGCAATATTATTGCATAGCTTTATAGGAATTTTGTGCTTATTACTAGCTACTGTAGTTGCAACAATGGCAGTGCCAAAGCAGCAAGAGCTAGATCGAATCTCAGAACTACCGGGACAACCACCAGTGTCTTTCTCGCAGTTTTCTGGTTATGTGACGGTCAACGAGCATCATGGTCGAGCTCTCTTTTACTGGTTGACTGAAGCTGCTACTGTTTCTCCTCACAACAAGCCCCTCGTTCTTTGGCTCAACGGAGGTCAGTTTAATAAATTGTTTATTTAATTCCTATATTCAATATCTATCTATCTCAAGATCTCTGACTTCCTAATTAATTAATTAATTACCACGAGTGAATTACTCACATTGTATATCCTCTACTTTTTTTTTTGGTCTCCAGAGTCTCAGACCTATCATTTTTTTAATTTTTTTTTAATATTTGTACTGGAAAATTTGACAAACTGTCAGTCTATCAACTCCTCATTAAAGCATTTAATATTGTGTTTTCTTTTCCGTATCTGTGCATGCCGCAGACTTCCGTGCTTAAGAAACCAAAAAAGGAGGCCTGGATGTGTTAGTTAATTTATTAGAGAATAAATTGTGTCACTATTGAGTGTTATATGGGTTGGCCATTGATGCCAAAATGATGAGTAAACTATTTTTGCTTCTTAATAAATGACTGGAGACTCATAAATTTAAAGTCCACCAGCTCTTGCCACACATATTTGCCACAAAACAAACAAACAATAGCTTTCCCTTTACAACCAAGTTCTAATTAATAGGCTCGATAAGTTTTTGTACTCGTGTGAATTGGGGATAATGCTGTCAATCACGATATACCACGTGTCATAGCTTTTTTATTTAGCAGTTTGTAATTGATTAGGGATAGCCCCGTTTCACACAAGCGTTTCTGGAGAGCCATAGCTAGAGCGAGACGAACTGGGTAGCTATCTCATCCATTACATGAGAAAGAGCATCGCATTCGCATGCACCAAAAGAAAAGTCCACACCATACCCACATGGGTCCTTGTGATCTCTCACTGTCTCTATCCTTTTTAGAGTTTTATTCCTTTTCAAACTGAGCTTCATTCTCTCTTTGAAACAGTCCCATGGCCAGTAACTCAAAAAGCCTCCGCCTATGCAATCTTTTGTCGCTTTTCGTTCTTTGTCTTTCGTGTATAGTTGTTTGGGTAAGCACCATACACCAAACGCCACAACAAACCAAAGTGAACCAACCAACTTTTCCACTTAAAACTCTACGCACTACTCAAATTCCTGATTGTCCATTTGAGAAAGAATTGCATCTCTGTCTGACTCACTGTCTCTGTGTCTTTCACGCGTGCTCATGTCATGAGAAAGTGACGACGACTAATTATAATGATACGTGATGGTGGTGTTGTTGAGTTCTGCTGTTCTTAAACTTGGGCTTAATTTAAATAATACAAGCTCGAATTTAAATTGAAAAATAGTTAGTAAGTTTGGATTAACAAAGTATTGAAAATTAAATTGTTTTGAAATATCAATCATCAATCATATACTTGCCGTTCAGGACCAGGTTGCTCATCAGTGGCATATGGAGCATCAGAGGAACTTGGTCCATTTCGGATTAATACAACCGGCTCATCTCTTTATCTCAACCAGTATTCATGGAACAGAGGTACATACATGAGATACCCTGTTTTCTCTTTTCTTTCCTTTTCTTGTGTTGTGGGCAAATACTCTCTTCTTTAAATCAACCATACTCTGTTTCTTTGTGTTGTATGACGTATTATTTCGATACTGCTTGCCTCCTTTCTGCGAGTTTGACACATGATAAGTAGGGAAGTATTTTCCGACTTATTTGACCCCTTTTGTACAAATTTCCCTTGTTGTCATTGCAGAAGCGAATATTCTGTTTCTTGAATCACCTGCTGGTGTCGGTTTCTCATATACAAATACAAGCAGTGACCTTAAAGATTCTGGGGACAAAAGAACAGGTAAAAAGAATCACAACAGCACCGTTAATTACCCTATAATCAATTCAATATATACATTATATTTTAAATATCTGAATCATCACCTTCTTCTGCCATATATACTTTTGATACACAGCTCAGGATGCTCTAATATTTCTACTTAAGTGGCTGTCAAGGTTTCCTCAATACAAATATAGAGAATTCTACATTGCTGGGGAGAGCTATGCAGGTAGACAATGGAAGGGAAAGGGAATTCTTTCTTTACATCACCAATGTTAAATCCCCATTTCATTTTGTACAAAACTAAAGCTATAATTTACAACTTGACTAGTTTTACATGCACAGGCCATTATGTTCCTCAGTTGGCAAGGGAAATTGTCGCTTACAACCAAGGGAATTCCCATTCCATCATTAATCTCAAGGGGTTTATTGTAAGTTGACAACTAGAACACTAACGAAAATTCCAACTTTTAATCACAACTAGAATAATTATAATTTAATTATGTGACCGTTTGTGAATAATTTGAGCTTTTTTCATTCGCAACAACTGTGCAGGTGGGTAACGCTGTAACAGATAATTACTATGATAACATTGGAACTGTCACGTTTTGGTGGAGCCATGCCATGATCTCGGATCAAACGTACCGATCAATCCTCAACCATTGCAATTTCACAGCAGAAAGAACATCACAGCAATGTGATGATGCTGTAAATTATGCCATGAACCATGATTTTGGAGATATTGATCAGTACAGCATTTATACACCATTTTGCTTGACAATGCTCAACAACACCAACAGGCATCTGAGACTCAAAAACACTCTTCTTCGCCGGCGTGTTTCCGGGTACGATCCATGCACTGAGAATTATGCAGAGAAATACTATAACCGGCTGGATGTGCAGAAGGCAATGCATGCAAACATTACTCGAATTCCTTACAAGTGGACTGCTTGCAGGTTTTTAAGTTCCCAATCCAATCTCAGTATGAAAAGTTGTTAAGAGCATCTGTCTGTCTGATACAAATTTTCTAATTAAATTTTGTTCGGGGGGGCAGTGATGTTCTTATCAAGAATTGGAAGGATTCTGAAGATTCCATGCTGCCAACATACAAGCAGCTTATTAAAGCTGGTATGAAAATCTGGGTTTTCAGGTAACTCTCAACTTCTTTGCATTCTCAATCAATTGCTTGCATAACAAGAGGAATAATATTTCTTAATTAATGAATAAACAGAAATACCAATTTATGCTATTGATTGTTTTGACCTTTTCATGCAGTGGGGACACAGATTCAGTCGTTCCAGTTACTGCCACTCGGTTTGCCCTCAATCATCTCAACCTTACTATCAAAACCCCGTGGTATCCTTGGTACACCGGAGGCCAGGTATTTTCAGCCATTTTATCCCATGAACTGTCACGCTAATCGAACTTAATCCCTTAAATTACTTAAACAATGACTTAGCAACATCCTCAACAATTTTTACAAACATTCTATTCTATTGTGCAGATTAAATTGTCAATAAAGGTTTTTATTTTTTCATAGGTAGGAGGATGGACAGAAGTGTACGATGGCTTGACCTTTGCAACTGTACGAGGAGCCGGACATGAGGTTCCCCTGTTTCAGCCTAACAGAGCTTTCGTTATTTTCAAATCATTTTTAGCAGGAAAAAAGTTGCCAAAACGTGACTGACAACTTAACCAGAAATATACATACATATATATTTGCCAAGTTCCCACACCACACAAACAAATCAAGGGTGGTGATCAGGGGGCAGCTAGATTAGGAAGCATTCATTCGAATTAGGGAGCATTCGTATTTTGATGGCAATGTAATTCATTTAACATCATGATATTTTGAACATGCTGCTGTTATATTACTTCAAAGTTCTACAATGCAAAGCGCAATAAAATCTAAGGTATTTTTTGGACAGCAGCATGCATAGCAGATTCTTAGAGGAATGCATTTTCATGTTGCCCATTGTTTGCAGTTTGCCACAGCTCAGGTGAAAGTGAAACTTATGAACAACAGTTAAACAGATCACCATATTTTATCCTCCTCAGTCTCTATTTTCATTTTTTTGACTATAGAGGTGAGAGGAAGATAAACATCAGGTTGTTTAGTAAACAGCCAGCACAAAGGCCACAGATTCTAAAGCTTCACTTTAATTAGAATTTCATATGACGATAAACGAGCCTTTGTAAACAAAATTGTCCATCTTACACAACCAACTAGTATGCATATAAGTAACATCACTTAGATTCCTCACTGAGGAGTGAGTCCTTGCGGCAGTCCTAAACTCTGGGCAAGATTGCTTATCCTTTCCTTCATAGCCTGACGACAAAAGAAGAATTTCATTTCGGTATGCCCAAAAATGGATGAAGTGCTGCAACTTAGAGGAAAATAAACATACTAAAAAGAAAGGGTTTCTCACCTGGACACTCTTCTGGTGTGCATCCTTGTATGCCTCAGTAATTAAAAGCGAAAGTTTCTGCATTAAAATGAAAAGTTAAACATATAAATGTGTTCTTATCAAACATTCATATCAGGTTTCGTGGGATCACTACAACCAAGCCGAAAAAATAGCATATGCAAACATTTCCCACCATTGGTTTCAAAATACGTACACACTCAAGGATGACCCCATACTTTCATAATAAACAGTTATTCAGACTCCAATTTACCCAGTTTTTACCTGATGCATCCTTCCATCACAAAAAAACAGATAACCAAATTTCCAACTTTCATCCCAATGTTCCCCAAAAGAGGCCATATTTCCAGTCAATTCAGCCACTTTTTCATACCCTAAAATTTTCATCTATCGAGCCAGGGATTCTCAAATCACACCTGATATCTTCCAAATTGTCAACAAGACAGTTATGTGTGGGTCATCAGATAAGGGCAGGATTATGGAAAATCAAGAGAAAATGCCGACAAAAATTTGTGTACATAAAAATTATGGAAATATTTAGTCTCAAAGTGAACTATAATTTTATCTGTCATAGATAAGAAGCATAGTTTTCATATCATCTGATCGAAGAAAGGCCATGGAGTTAAGTATTACTCACTTCTGGTCCTAATTCCACTGCAGCCTCAGTAAAGAGTAACCTAAAGAGTAACATCAGTTAGAAACTTTTGCAAAACTTAAGTTGGGAACTTATGCGACCCAAATAAAGTCTCGAGCAAATCATGAATCATTTTCTGTTATGATTAAATGAAAGAGCGGAATTTCAAGAGTTAGGTCAGAGCTGAAGAAACAAATATGCAATGAGATGTCCATGAACAATATAGTCATCCACTGGTAGCTTTAGTGAACCACTCTTTCCCCTTTTTAGCCACTCTCAAAAGCATTGTAGAAGAAAACTATCAGAGGAGAAATATCTTTTTCTTAAACCCAAAGTAAAGTGAAAATTCCATATTTGTATGCCATTTCATCAAGGCAAAGTTTTCATAAAGCTAATACAAATACTTGAGCTCGCTTAAAAGAATCTTCACCATTAAATACCCAAAGAGAGAGAGAGAGAGAGAGAGAGCGCTTTATTAACTCCCCTTCGCAGTAACCATCAAACTCTGCTCTGCATAACAGCACAACAAAATTGGGGAAAAAACTGAGGATTTCATACACAAGGAAAAATGAATGTTGACAGTGTATTTCATAATTAGTCATACACAGCAAGTTCTTTTTGCACCCGCACTGCTTCAACTTGGACAAGCATTTGTGCCTTCTTCACAGTCTCATATTCCAAGAACTCCTGCCTAAAATAAATTAGCATGATTAATGTTAATATTTAATTAACAGATGACGGGAGTATGAAACTGGCATCATAATTACATACATATTTAGAATTACAGAAAATATAACCAAAATACTGGAACCAACTAACAGGAACACCCACATGTTACACTCACGTATAACTAGAGATGTTGATCGAATTAAACGCATAAAGTGCAGCCTTCTATGGGGTAAGATGATGCCTCAGAATCATAAGAAAACAGTGGCTGTTCTTTGCAGTTTACTCCATTTGTTCGGTAATCAACCTCCATGTATGCTTGGGGTTGAGAAAAGTTGGCTAAGTTGTAAGTTAAAATAGGAGGTTATGTTTAGTTAGTTGAGCTAAAAGGTTGCTACTAAAAAGCGAAGACTAACCTTTGAAGGCGCATCATCACTGTTCTCATTATTTTCTTTCTTTCCGCCAAAAAGACCATTAACAAGGACAGATCCCAGAATATGCCCAAAGTGTAGGTAAGCTCTGTAAATTTGTCTTTGAACTTAAGTTATCTGTAAAAGTTCCCAGGAGGAGAATGGTAAGAACCAACAGATGTAAGATCATAAACAAGTTACTAACAAGCAAACAACAGAACGAAGAAACACATGCCAAAATTCTCTAGGCCTATAATAATTACGATACCAACCAAAGCGATAGAGAGATAAAGTCGAGGTATTTCTTTGATGTGGCTTCACGACGAGAGTTGAACTGGTTTTGATGACGGTCCAGTGGAGGGAAAACACGTGTAGTGGGAGGGATTGGAGGGCTTTTTGCTTCTCTCTGATATTTTCTTTTTAACTTTTTAGATGTTACTTAAACAGTCTGATCCATTTCATCAACTGTTTCAATCTGCCATAAAAATATCTTACCATTAACTTTTCACGCAAACGAGCAGAAGCTTGTGAAGGAGATGACGATGTCAACGGGTGGTGGTGGCTTGACTTGTTCAAATCCAACCCAAAAAGTCCGTGGGCATGGTCATGTTTGAACGTTTTCGGCATTTTCCTCTTTAAATTTTTGTGGTTTCCTTCTTTCCTGCATAATAAAGTAAAGACTGTTTCTCAAATTTCTCTCCTTTATACTGTTTGTTTGTCATAAATCAATAACAAGCGATGCCATTTGATTCCTGTTTGGATTTCACACCTTGACCTTTTGGCTTTTGCAGCTAAACCCAAATGCAAGCAATTGCCACCAAATTACTCAAAAACCCTCAGATTAGACCTGCTGTATATTTATGTGTGTACAGTACAGAAAGTCTACCAGGACCAGGGCCTTTGAGCCCATGAAAAAGAAAGAAGAAGAAGAAGCAACAACGACAACAAAAAGTCCACATCCCATAACATCCGCCTGAATTAATTAATACGAGTAATGGGAAAAGCGGATCAAAAGGCAAAAACCCTCTCTCTCTCTCTTTCTCTAAACATAACAAACTGATAAATGCATCCAAAAAACTATCTTTATCCATGAAAATTCAATTTTTAAACAAAAGGGCAGGCAGGCCGACAAAGTTTGTTACTGTCTCAGGTCTTCTTCACTTCAATCCTCACCTCAGCTACCCTGCAAGCCAAAGGGCTCTCTGCACAAAAAAGAGCCAATCTTTAAGAGTAGGATTTGCAATTACCAAATGGTCCCCAGTCTGCCTTGAAGTTTCTGAGGGACAAAAGGGAAAATTGGTAGTTAGAAATAGAACTTCTGTGGCTCCATGAAGCAGTTCCATCAACTGTAGTGGCTAAATGGCTTTAGGGAGGTAGGCAGCTGCTGTTACACAAAAAGTCTCCAGAACGTAGGTCTCTAGTGTGATGGTGTAAATGGCATCTTTTACATTCATTGAAGACGTGATATTACCAATTTACCCTCGTACGGTATGAGAGAGTGTGTCTGCCGTTGAATAATCCCTTCCAATTAGAAAAAAAAGCCATTGATTGATAGAATTTTGATTTTTTGGCAACTTTGTTACTGGCTTGAAGCCAAAATTGGGTGGTGTTCTTCTTTTATCTGCAAGATCCTCAAAAAGCTTTGTTTGGGTAAAAACAGAAAGGATGAGATGAGAGAGAGAGACACAGAGCATCCTTTGAATCAAAGAGAACCAGAGGGGGTTTCTAGTAAATAAGCAGCAATTGACCAACCAGTATAAATTAAAATATTTGCAAAATGAAAAGCATCTCCTCCATTATTTCATACACACCACCATCACTACTACCCAAACCAACCTAATCCATAGCCTAAAAATAAGGTACTACCAATACCTACAACTGCAACAGCACATCAGAAAACAGCAACATCTCATTTATCTTCTGCCTTTTTTTTCATCATCAGCCCCATCTTCAATGCCTACTCTTTCTCTCTCTAAAAAACCAATCTTTCTCTCTTTATCTCTCTAAAAAACCAATCTTTCTCTCTCATCACAGAGAAAAACGCACATCCAAAGAAAGAAGGAACATTGAAGTTACACGCACACCCTTCCCCATCAAAAACAAAGAAGAGTCCACACCACACCCAACTCTCTCTCTCTCTTCAATGGCCCAGCTGGACCAAAATTTATGTAGAAGAAAAACAAAAAAGAAAGAAAGAAGGGGAAAGAAAAGAAAGAGAAGATAGATGTCTTCAAATGTCCTCCAACCAAACCCACCTCACAAACTCTCTCTCTTAAAACATGTTGCCAGAAATACCCTTCTGCAACCCCCCAAAAAATCCCATCTTCATCACTGTCTTTCAAAAGAACATTATTTTTCACCGAGTTATGTGGGCTCTTTTGGGTTTTTGTTGTCTTGGTCAGAGTTTCACAGAGAAAACAGGAAAGCAAGAAACTTCTCCTCCCTTCCCTTCACTCTCTCTCCTTTTCTTTTCTTCCTTGTCCTTCTTGTTTCTCTCTACCCTCTTTTTATTATTTCCTGTCCAACTATCTCTTTCTTTTTCATACCCATCTCCTTGTGTCCCTCTTTCTCTCCCCCTATAATTCTTGGTTTTTGGCTTGTGGGTTGTTATATCTCTTTGTGATCTGATGAAGAAGATGAAAGGGGTTCTTGCTATGGAGCCTTCTTCATATGCTGGTTACGAGGATCCAAGGACTAGATTCAAGCATCAGAGTCTCATGCAAGACTATGAAGAGCTGCAGAAGGTATGTATCTTCTGTGGGTTTTCATAATATGCCGAATTTCTTTTGTGGGTTTCATTAGATCTGGTGTGTTGTATTCAATTTTTATTTTATTTTTCGGGTTGTGGTTATGATTTCTGGTTTACCTAGCTTTGGATTATTTATGGTTATTTGGCTGCTGAGCGATTTGAGAATGAAAGGAGAAATCAAATATTTTGGATCTCATTCATGTGTATTATTTCTTTTGGGTTTCAGACCAGTAAGAATTGCTTAGCTAAATTTCAGTTTTTTTCTTATTGTCTCAGTAGGTTTCTGATCTCCCTTTGTTTCATTTCCTGCTGTCTATGTGACTTGCCAGAGAAAAATTGGAAAACGGAACAGGAAATGGAACTTTGTAATTATGTTTATGTTAACCTTTGTTTGTAGAATAATTAACAACCCTCCAAAACTAAGCTAATTAGTACTATTAGGCACATCTGAAAGAGTTTTTTTCACTCTTTACTTGGAGGGGGTTAGGTAGGCTTTTTAACTCGGTTGTTTTCCTACCTTTTGTTCTTTGTTTAAGATCATTTGGTGTTTTTCTCTAATTATAATTTTAGTCCTTCTGTTTAAGAGTAAGTAGGCTCTCTCCTTTTTGTTTGGGACTTGTATGTAGTGTATTTAACTTGTCTGAATTTCTTTCGCTTGGTGAGTCTTTAACTATCTTGTTGTCTAGGGTTCTACAATTATTTGGTATCCTTTTCTTCTTAATTTTGTGAAACTTTTCATAGCAGATACTACTTTGCTCTTCGCTTTTTCTTCTCTCTTGCTGATTGTGATGCTTTTGGCTTATGAGACATTGAGGTATTCAGAGCTGGATTTATGTAAGTTAAGCATCATTCCTTCTGCAGGATGCAGAGGCCATGAAGAAGAAATTGCAAATGATGAAACAGAAAAAGTTTACCCTCTTGGCCGAAGTAAGGTATACCATATTGTCCATGCCGTCGTACACTTGTGAGATGGCATAGATTATAGTAAAAGAGGAAAAAAGTTGACTTGGTAGTTGTTTATCTCTTGACTTTGCAGATTTTTGAGTAGAAGATACAAATACTTAATGGGGAACCAGTCCATGAACTCTCGACAGAAGCAAGATGTGGTGAAAACACACAATTTTGAAACCCAGCGCACCAACATTATGAAGGGAAGGAGTTACAGTAAGAAGGAATCTGCTTTGCGGATTAATCATGCATTAGACTTAAACCAAAAGGAACGGATTAATCATGGAATGGAAGACACCTTGCGAAAATCTGCTCCAAAATTTGACTTAAACCAGAAGGCGAGGACTCTTAGCGGGAAGGAAGCTACTTTGCAAAAACCAACTCCAAACTTTGACTTAAACCAGAAGGAAAGGATACAGATAGTGAAGGAATCATCGACAAAGCGAAAGAGTACTCCAGTTTTTGACTTGAACCAGATTTCGGTAATCAAATAGTAAATGTTCTAAGTAGTGTGATTTTGAGTCTTGGTGCTGCTTCTTTGCTGTGAGGTTTGATGTTTCCGTTGTTTCATTTTGTTACAGAGAGAGGAGGAGGAGGAATTCCAAGCTAATTGTGAGCCATTGAGGATAGAAGAGCCGAACAAAAGTTTACTTAGAGGGGGAAATGATGAGCAGCACAGTGATATGAAGTTGCTGGTTTGCAGGACGATTGGGAATGGGTCAAATCGATCAGGGAAGAGGAAGATTACTTGGCAAGATCAGGTGGCTTTAAGGGTTTGATTTCTTTCTTAGAGAATTACCATTGAAGATGATAGATGTTGGAGTGGGGTGGGTTGGAGAGTTCGCCACGATGTGGCAAAGATACAATTAAACTGCTATGCTTCTTTGATTTTCATCTTTGTAAAGTAATGAGAGACTGATGGTGATACATATCGAGTGTATACTATACAGATGAAATGATGGAATTAATTGTATCTTTGCTCTGTGTTGATGAATGTTGCAAGTTTGCTGAGGATATAGTAGGAATTCGCATATGTATTGCAATCATTGGGTTGTAAGATATTCCAAATCCCAAGTAGCCGGCTGTAGATGAATTCAAAGAGAAAAGGAGAAGCTGATGGTGAAAGATTAAAGCTTTTCTTTTCAGAATGCTTCATGGTTGGTTTGCCTTGTTAAATCAAGCAATGGTTGGTTGGAGAGGCGTGTTTAGCTATGGGGCTTATTTTAAGTTCTGTTTTACATAATTGTCCAGAGCATATTACTCATTTAGAGGTTTGCATGATGTGGCTTGAGACAGACCTCACAATGGTAAACTAGTTTTTAAGTCCCAAAATTTTTTTCCAAGTCCCAATATTTTTTGAAGTTTCAATCAATAATGACCTCTTTGGCTGTTTTTGTGTTGTGTTTTGTGTCTTCTGCATGGACAGATCGAGATCCCCTTTCTATTGATTTATTTCTTTTTTCGTTTGTTGGAATATTTCTCTCATGAGTCATGATGCCTGCCTGTACAGATTTTAGGCAGTCACTGTCAGCCCGTAATTTATAGCAATGGGCGGCTTCCTCTAATAGCAATGTAGGCCCAAATTCGATTTCTTCTTTTCCCTTTTCTGTGCCGTCTGTGCTGAAGAAGAGGATTTGTTTTGGTATAAACCAGATTCGTGGAGCCAAATATCAGAAAAAGAAAAAAGGATTGTTGATTGATCAACTTGTTTCTTAATCTAATAAGTTCCTCTGATTCACAAGCCTTCAATATCATCAAATCTATTTCCTGGAATCAGACATCCCCATAAATCTTTTTAAGCATCAATTAGATTGGTTTTCCAAATGATTAAATTGGTTTTGGCGGTACCTCATCAAATTATATATCACAACCATATGAACTATAAAGAAAGAATAATCTGTGCCGCTACAACCCGAATTTGGAATAAAACGCAGGAAGTTGACATACCAAACTCATCTCCAAATTGTGCCCGTCTCCAAGACTAGTTATTCACCATCGAATGTGCAGATAACCTATCTGAATCTGCAAAAACAATTAAGGCAGTGTTGTTTGCTTCTTTGGTAAGATCAGCATTTTCTGCCTTTCCATTGGCATTAGTCCCTGATGATGCAATAGCAGTTTCTGTTGGAATCTTCTCATGAGCTTCTTTGGCCGCACCAGCATCTTCTGCCTCCTTACTAGCCTCCACTGATGATGCCAGGGAACTTGCAATTGGAACATTACTTGGTGTAACCTCCTGACGCTTCGCGATGTGCTTCTTCCCTGTCATATGAGCTAACATCACGTTTGGAGAGTAAGCACCAACTTTACACCTTTCACACCAAAACTTAAATTTCTTCTTTCTCACTGCTTCTTTTCTCCCCGGTCCCTGCACCACTTCCACCTCATCTTTGATCTTTAAATTCTCTCGACACTGGTCGTTCTCCATTGGCAGTTCCTCTTTTTTCTCTTTTGAAGTGCATGCATCCTGCATTTTCTCGTCTAAACCATCACTGGGGTCAAGCGATTCCCTTATTTCTTCGGGCTCAGAAAACTTTGCAGTTTGCTTTGACAATGGTGCACTACTGGAGCTCTTGCCCAGTTTCTGAGCTCTCAGTCTCGCTTCATTGGCCTTGTGCTTCTTACCATTAAGGTGCTGATTGAAGACTTTCTGACTTCTTGCACTAACCTGGCACATAGCGCAACTCCATATCTCCTTGGGTTTCTTCTTCAACCCAGTTGGAGGCAGCTCACTAGCACCGGCTGTTGGTGGTGTTTTCCGCTTGACTCCAGAAAGATTTGGGTCAGGTTTAGCCTGCAACAGAATACTTACACGCAGTATATAAAAGAGTCTTGATATTAAATATCTGATTGATGGTAAAAACCTCAACAGTATTTCCAATGTGAACTGCACCAGCCTCTCTGCTGCTTTCACAAATATGGAATGAACAAAAGAAAACAACTTGTTGGGTAATCTTAAATAGAAAAAAAAATCAAAGTCGCAATAAAGTGCAGTTTACGAAATCCGCAAGATGTCAACTGTCAATTTTGAAATAGATACATTGTTGTTGTTGCACAACTCAGCCAACATATGATAACAGGAGTCCCCAAATTTGTTGTGCAAGCACAAATACTCACTTTTGTTTTTGGCCAAAAGTAATCTTCAAGGTGTTGAGTTAATTGCAAAGGAATATAGGTTTCCCAAGTTTTGACAAAACCCAAAAAAAAAAGAACAAGAGACATTGTAACTCACACAAGGCTTAGGCCACACTAGAACAAGGGAAGGGATTGCTGCAAATACATAATGATGGAAGGTAGGCTTCTCCAAGTGAACCGACAAATGAAAAATCAATTTGCAAGGATCAGCAGAGCCATTAATTGAGATTGTTGTGTACCTTGATCAATTTGATTGATGTGTGTCAACTATAACAAAAAGTCATAGTAAACTTATGGAGGAAAACACAATCTAAGTAATAAATGACTAAGATGCTCCATTGGAACTGACTTTTAAAGTGCCTATCCACAAGCAAAAGGACTACCAGACCTAGCAAACCGATATAAACCTTGTATTGTGTCTCAATATCCCACCACCAGAAAGAAATGCAGTGTAAATAGAGATTAAAATTAAAATAAATCCAAAAAAAAAAAGAACAAGTAGAAATGCGGCGACTGACACTGACCAGTGGGATTAAGTTGTGGTTGTTGATGAGAGAAGTTGCGAAGCGGTCATGATCCAAAGGGTGGTGGAGGAGTCGGGGGTGGTGATCAAAAGCGAGGCCGTCGGCGGCGGCAGCTCTTCGCATAGCGATGTCTCGCTCGAGCATGAGCTCTCTTCTGACCTCGGCTTCGAGAAGTCGCCGTCTCTCGGCCGCCATGATCTCCTCCCTGATCTTCTCCTTCTCCAGCTGGCGCTCGATCATCGGAGCCGTTTGTGTTTGTTGTGTTGCTGTTGAGAGGTGGAGAAAAGTGAGGAGTAAATGGAATTGAATTGGGTTTGTAAGCAAAATAAGGACGAGAGAAAAGAAAAGAGGAGAAATTAGAATGAAGAATGTTTTCTTCTTCTTCTTGTTGTGGTTTCTGAGTCTGAGCAAGAAAGAAAACAGTGAACCTCGCAATGCGTGTGGATGTTGGGAGAAGTAGCCGAGGGTGGAAGGCAGCGGCGGAGGCGACCTTTTGTCGAGAGATCGGAAGTTGAATTCCATGGAAGGGAGGATGAGGAGGAGGAGGCTGTCAGTAGCCTAAAAAAGATTGAACTTTTTGGGCAAAAGCAAAAGCAAAAGCAAAAAAGCAAAAGCAAAAGGTGTAGCTGTGTGTTTGGTTTCCAGGAGAGTTTTGGGTTTGTCATTTATAGTAAGAGTACTGGATGAACCGGTTGTTCACTTAATGAATGGCCTCATTTCAACGACATGAAAATTGAAACGGTCTTTCCATCAATAGATAGATACATACGTTGTTGTTGTGTTTTAGACAGTCACTCATACCCCTTTCATTTGTGTATGTGTGTATATGTCTACTGACTACTGACTACTGACTACTGTTACATTCTGACGCTATTTCTTTATTTCACGGCAGCCTTTTCATGGAAACGCATCTTTGAGTATTCCCTATAATTTATAAATAGTGTTGCGGCATGCCAGTCATTCTGGTCTTAGATGAGGTCTGTCTCTAAATCGTTGCATCAAACTACCAAGCAACAATTTTGATGGGCTTTGGCCCTGAAAATATATAATATGGCCCAGTAGTTGAGGCCCAATATTATAGGCAGAACCCAGAGCCCAGAACCCAGAGCCCAGAGCCCAGAGGCCAGGCAAGTCAAGTCAAGACTCAAAGACTCACTCTGTTTGTGGTTTGTGGTGTTGTGTGGTTTGATTTGGTTTGGTTTTAGCAAACAAGAAGAAGAGGATAGAAGAAAGGAAGATGCCGAGTCGCTGTGAGATCTTCTGTGAAATTCTGATCGCCGTGTTGATCCCTCCCTTGGGGGTTTGTCTAAGACACGGTTGCTGCACTGTAAGCCTTTTTAACCGTCATCATCTTATCCTTGTTGCACATCATAAATTAAAGATAATAAAACACAAAGTGTATGTAAGAGAGACTGATTTGATATGAAATGGTAAATTCGGTTTGCTTGCAGATTGAGTTTTGCATATGTTTGCTGTTGACTTTGCTGGGTTACATTCCGGGAATCATCTACGCTCTCTATGCCATCGTGTTCGTGGATCGCGACGAGTACTTTGATGAATACCGCCGTCCCCTCTATGCCAACTCCGCTTAACTTGTTTCCGTTGTTCTTTTATTTTCCCTCCCTCTTACCTTAATTTTATTATTATTATTATTATTATGTCTTTGTCTTATGAATTGAACTCTGTTTTTATCAAAAGGGAGGGATCTTTGATTTGATATTTGGTAGCCTTCTTTGTTTACATTCATTCATTCATTCATTGTGAGTAGATAGAGTAGTAGTCACTCAGAAATCTGAATTTGTTGGATACACACATAAACACACACAACATGATTCATTCATTCATTCATTATTTCTCAACTTTCTATGTAGAGGTAGATGTATGTTTGCTGGACTGATAATCCTAGCATTTTGTTTTGTGGGTCTTGAAAGGAATAAGTTAATCTCAACATCTTCCTTCAACATAAATTTATTGAGTTATCCAATTCAATCCAAATCTTAGGCATTAGACACACACCAAATGTGACCCTCCTAGACTAGACTAGACTAGAGTAGAGTAGAGTAGAGTAGAGTAGAGAGTACAACTTACGAGTGCATGATGACTGCAAATCATAGGCTCGAAATCGAAAGCTGCCTTGTTCAGGTCTTTATGTATGGTAATGGTATGGGTAAACTTACACATTAGATTACACTCAGTTGCTTGGTTGTTGCGAGCAAGCCAATCCCAATTTGGAGAGCAAGTAAGTAATTGTGTTTAGGGTTGAAGATGATATATATATATAGCCCATCCCAGAGATATTCATAATGTCTGTCCATCACAAGGGAGGAGAATTGTGAATTTAGATAGAAAACAAGCATCAAGCCCTTGTGTGGGTTTCTATTTGCAAATCACTTGTATTGTAGCTCTAGGACGAGGAGGAGGACGAGGAGGGAGGAGAGGCTCCAACAAATAGATATGATATATTGACCTACTCCTTGAATTTAATTCCAGACAACATCTACCCGTCTACCAGTCTACCAATCTACCAGTCTACCAGTCTACCAGTCTCACTTGGAAGAGAGTAACATGACTTGACTACCATGTGATGTGATGTGATGATGATGAGGCACTTTTTTTCTTTTGCTTGCTTTTTTGACACAACCAAATGAGAGCATCTCAACTTCTCTCTCTCTCTCTCTCTCTCTCTCTCTCTCTCTCTCTCTCTCTCTCCGCCCCTCTTGTTGTTCCAGGGTAGAGTTCATCAAGCAGCAGCCTTTTGTTGAGAGATGAATTGCAATCTGCATGCATCAAGTTCAAGTTGTTACTTCAGACCAAAAAAAAGTTCTAGTTGTTACTAGTGCTCCTCTTCCTCTTGTCTTGTCTTGGCAGCTGCAAATATGATTATACATGCGTTCGGTTAACTTAAGCACGCTTTACTTCAAGGGGAAAGGAAAGGAAATCAAATTATTTCTTCACACACCAAAGTTTATATACAACCCTTCTTTTAATTATTATTTTCTAATCGAATGGAACAATTTTATATATAATTTCAATCTCTCTCTCTCTCTCTCTCTTCGCAAACTATTGTCCTTACATTTTTACACGAATGGAATCATCATGTGCTCATCAAAAAGTTTTCATCTGAAAAGACCAAAAAACAAGCGGATCATGATTCATGTTGAGGAGCCGCCCTTGATCCTGGGATAGGATAGGAATAGTTATCCAGACATCCAGACCCAAAAAAAAAAGGGGATAGGAATAGGCATAGGTAGGAGAGTAGTAGTTAGCCACAACAGCGACACGTGGTAAGTTTTGGAACTATCTTCGACGTAAAATGACATCTACACCCATACCCATAGTCCGCATATACATAACTTGCCCGTCCGTATTCCTTCTTCTCGCCCAACCCATCCAACCGGCAAACGTAAACTAATGGACACAACCAACAAGGAAGAAACAATGCCCGAGTTGGGATCGGACTGGGCCGAGTTGACCCAGGAGTGCCTGATCAACATACTGGGTCGGGTCAGCCTGGAGCAGCGCTGGCGTGGGGCGATGCTGGTCTGCAAGTCATGGCTGCAGGCGTGCAAGGAGCCTTGCCTCAACTCCGTCTTCGACCTCCAGCCTCACTTCGAGTCCGCTCGCTGGTGGACCCCGGAGTTTGAGAGAAGGGTTGATTCCATTCTCCAATCTGTCGTTGATTGGAGCGCTGGCTCGCTTCGACACATTCGTACCACCCACTGCTCTAATCACTCTCTCTCTTTCGTCGCTCAAAGGTACCCTTACACCCTATATAAATATGTATATCATCATTTCTATAACCAGATGAAATTTATTTATCTATTTTGAATTAGACAAAGCTGGGTATTGTTGTTCAATTTTGGGTTTTGATTGTCTGTGGCCTGGAATTAGTTGGGTTGGGTGCTAAAACTTTTTTTTCTTCTTTCTTGGTTATGTGTTTTCAGCCTGAAGTTCTGCTCTTGATTGGTGTATGGTGAGCTTAAGGTTAGATGTAGAGTTTTTCGTCAGGAAGGTTTGGATTATGAATTATGATGACTAGCCTAAATTGATTAACAATGTTTTCAGCATCTTCGGTTGGTTTCAAATTTCTTTGTTTTAGAGTTAAAACTTAGAGACTGACTGGACGGTGAAATTGTGTTTTTGCCAAATATTGCATTTTGAAGCTTCGGTTCTTACTTTTTATTTGTTAATTTGATTCATGAAGTTTAGCGTGTTGCCATCTTAAACTTTCCATTGGTTGTTACTGGTTGGTTGTAATTTAAATTGCCAAATCGGTATGTGCTTTTAGGTGCCCGAACCTCGAGGTTCTTTCAATCAAGAGCTGCCCGAATGTAACTGATTCATCCATGGCTGACATAGCTTTTCGGTGCCCCATGATCCGGGAACTTGACATCAGCTATTGCCATGAAATATCTCATGAGTCTCTGGTGTTGATTGGGAGGAATTGCCCAAATCTCAAAATCTTGAAAAGGAATTTAATAAATTGGTTAGATCCTTCCGAGCACGCTGGGGTTGTTCCTGACGAGTACTTGAAAACTTGCCCTCAGGATGGAAATTCAGAAGCTGCTGCAATTGGCAAATCTATGCCCGATTTAGAGCACCTTGAACTTCGGTTCTCCAAGGTATCAGCTAAAGGGTTTGCTTTGATATCTGTAGGATGTCCAAATCTTGAGTACTTGGATTTGTTTGGGTGTGTGAACTTGACCAGTCGCGATATTGAGAATGCAACATCCAATCTGAAGAATTTGAAGGAGATTAAAAAGCCAAATTTTTACATCCCCAGGTCAGTGTTCCATACAGAGAGGTATGGCCATTGGAGGCTGTATGACGAGAGATTCCAGACAGATGTTTTCAGAATCTAAACTGCTAAGCTTGGAAATAAAATATGTATGACCAAGTCTATGGTGATCTGATCAATTGTGGGAAAACATATTGTATATGCTGGTGTGTGAAGCTCTTTAAAAAGGTTCTGTATCTATTTGACTTCTACTCATCTAAAATCTTGTCATGTTCAGATTTTATGGAATTTATGTATAAACAACCATCGAGTAATACGAATGCTTCCTCCTTGTAGTTAGTATCATACTTTTAATTTTGCAGACAAGTTGAAGAAATGTTAACCATGTTTCTGCCTTCTTTTTTAACATAGCCTTGTCACTTGCTTTTTTGTTTCTGTTTTTTCCGTAGTATTGATATGCACTTCGGTGAAGAAAGAAATGTCTTCCCTTCTTTCTTTGCTTTGCTTTGCATGAACAACAGGGAAAGAAGGAAGAAATTTCTGAGATAATTCTTCAATAAGTGATGTTCTAGGATGTAGATAGAAGCAGGTTAGGGCAATGGATTTAAAAAGAGGCCTTTAACATGAATGAGTTTTGTCACAAAACGTCCACATTGAGTCCTAAATCATGTTTGCGAAGTCACCCAAGCAATTAAAATTACTACAAAGAAAATATAAGCACGGCCAGTGCCGAGAGGAATAAAGCGAGGGTGGGTTTAACTGGTACAGAGCTTGCTGCATTATGGTTGGTACGGGGGCGCTTAAGGTCAGAGGCACCACCATAGATTGCCCTTGCTTTCTGGGAAGTCCTTAGATGATGAACTTGATGCATTCTCCCATATCGTCTTTCATGGATTTTTCTACTTGATCTTGTCGTCATTTCATGTATATCTGCAGAGCTTATAACGATATTAATTAGGGAAAAGAAGGACGGGATCAATTGAGCTATGAAGACAGAATTTTTATGCTTACCCTTAACCTTAAGTTGATCATGCTGCCTGAGAGGTCCAGAATCTCCAGTTGTAGGAGTGAAAGCGCTTTCACATGTAGACTGAGCCAGGAGGCACAGAATGGAAAAGGAGCATATGACTAATTCTCTCCTCCTCATGTTCTCTCAATTGGGTTCTAATTTGTAACTAAGTTCCACAGTTAGGAGCTGAGGAAGAGGGACACTTAAATAGACTTGTTACTCTCTCTGTTTAGAATTAAGCACTAACCAAAAACAGAAAGGAAAAGGAAAAGAAAATTAAAAAAGTTGAATGGGGTTTTCGTGGCCAGTGGGTAAAGACAGATTCTAAAATAAAACTGGCATAAGCGTGATCCATGTGTTGTTTTGCACTCTCCAGAGATTAAGTATTGATTCACAATGCGGGTGTAAAGCCATACAAGCACTCCTTTCTTAAAGGAATAAAACAGACCCTTTCTTTCTGAAAGCAAGATGAAGAAATCAATTTGAAAAATGTAAGCGAATGTGATGCCTTTGGAGAGGCCTCAACACAAAGAAAAGAGGAATGGCTTTTCTCAAGTCTGTAAAGTCAAAGTAATTCGATGGGTGGAAGGAAAGTATGTATACTATATAAACCAAGGAAGCTGGCTACCTCTGAAATTCCTCCGACCAAGTCTAAATATACAGTAAATAAATACTACCCGGAACTAATAATTAGTAATTAGGAGGGCGGCGGCGGTGGTCTGTGTATTAGAGCAACTCCACCCATTTGCCCCTTGCCATGGCAAGGGGGGGGCTAGGGCAGCCACTATTCACGTGAATAGTGGTTGCCCTTGCAAATAGTATATTTTGTGTTTCCACCCGTTGCCATGGCTAAGGGCAATTACTATTCATTTTGTTGTTTTTTTACAAATTTTTTTACCTCAATAATTAATTTGGATAATATTTTCGGATAAGATTTTTGGTGTGGGAAGTGAAAAATATGACTAAGTATTTATTTTTTAAAAATCTGAATTTTTTTGTTTTTTTTCCCATTTTTTTTATAAAAAAATTGTTGCTGACGTCAGCAGCCCTCGTTTTGGACCTCAGGCTGAACTGGGCTTCGGGCCAGCCCGACTTGCTGGGACCCGCACCTTGCCCGGGCTTGGGCTGACCGCTGGAAGCTTCATTTTTGGTTTTTCTCCCCCCAGCCCAAGGCTAGGGGCTCCGCCGAACTTGCTCTTAAACTAATTGGTGTTGTTTGAAGAGATTGTCATGTTGTCCTCGAGGGTTTTAACAATCAGACTCAGTCTCAGTCTCAGAGGTCATAACTATTTGAACGACATACATGATACATGGATGGTGGATTAAGCTCCGACTCCATGTATGTATGTACCATTCATATTATTCTAAGAAAAAGAGATGTGACAATGACCTTTTCTTTCACAAAGGGATAAAAATATGCTAGTTGGGGCTGGAAATTTGATTCTCATCTTCGTGTTCAAGGAATTAAGAGCATGTTTACATAACCAGAATGGGTAGCATGGGAGTCATTCCCATTCTGAAGGGTGGGATTAATCCCCGCTCATGGTTCGGCTTGCCTTTGGCTACAAAGTGCTTCCAACGAGTTTCGAACCCCTGACATCGAGGCATTAGGTAGCTCGCTAGTTGGAGGTGGCAGTTTGCCAACTATACAACACCTTGTGGTTATTCCGGATGACTCCTTTGTTTACTTACATTGGCGAAATAAATAGTAACATGGGGCACACAACAAATTTGATTCTTGATTCCTGATATTAAAGAGATTTCATTTTGGAGAGGGGCGGTGGGATTGGAGAAGGGTGAAAGGGAATCAAGTTTTTCATGCCTAAAATACCCCTTACAATTTTATTTTTTTCATATGAAAATTTGTAGTAACCTTTGAAGAAAAAAAACATATTTTGTTTAAGGGCATTTTCTTAATCAAATTGTTTTTCATTTCGTTTCATGATGGATAGTAAACATTTTAATGGGAATGAACTCTATTTTCATTCTGATTCATGATAGTTGGTAAACAGCTTAAATGGAATGCATGACTCCAATTCTTGGTTAACCCAATTCCTACTTAACCCGATTCATAGTTACACTGATTCTTGATTAATAAACATGCCCTAATAAAAGGAGATTGATTATCGGGAATGGGTTAGGAATCGTAATTCAACTTTCTAATTGAAACAAACATTATATTTCAAGCTAATATTGATGATGATTGTTGTTGGAAACAAACATAATATTTCTAGCAGATATATATTATATCCAGCTCCTCCTATCCTATAACAGAAAGAAAGAAAGGAGGGATAATGAAGAAAGAAAACAAGCGACAGGAAGAGAAGGTGTCATCTGAGTTGGAATGGCGGATGATTTTTTGACACGAGGAACCTTTGGAACGCTACGGGTTATTTTCATGTGAACCCCAAGCTTAAGCTTCCGAGTTGTGTGAAGCAAAGTACTGACATGGTAATTTGTAGCTGGCAGTGGTGGCTGCTGCTGCTGCTGCTCCCCAACAACAACCGCCCTAGTAATAGTACTAGTAGTTGTTGTACCACCTCCATTTCCATCTCCATGGGCTGAACTTGGAAGCGATTGACAGAATATTAGAAGAAGAAGAAGAAGGAGCGAGAGACTGAGTACGCAGCGTGATTTCATCTCATTCAACATGCCTGCCTTCTTGCTTTGCCCTGGCCTGCTCTGCTGCTGCTGCTGCTGCCAAGCGCTAAGCAATATGCTAAATAAGTTCTACTAATTCACCAATGCTATATAACATATGGATATTATATATTAGACGCCAAAGTTGAACGGGCTGCATGAATAGGTCACTTCATGGGGGCAAAGGTGTCCAGTGTAATTCAGCCGAAAGCTTTGAATATCTTTGACAATTAATTAAACAAATAAATTTTAAGTGAATGCGGTTTTCATATAGGAGAAGAAAAGGAAGATGCCATGGGCCCATGCCACAAGGAAGGAAAGAATCCCAGTGAAGAAAAGGACTAGGCGCACAAGCGACGACAATGAACCATTTCTATCGACATATCAGTAATCTATATTATCTTCACTTCACCCATCAGTAAATTATGCGTGTCACCACGGCATCTATTATAGACAAGAAATGAAAGGAATTAGCATTATCATTTGTGATATCAGCTAAACGTCGCTCTTATCTTCTTTGAATTGCTTGCTAAAAAGATCCTCCTCAACCAAAAACAGTGTTTGCATTTGTGTTAAAAAATAGGATTTGGAAACCCAAAAAATATATGTACAAAAATTCGTTCAAATCGGAAATCTTGATTTGTTTGTTTTAGAGTGAGTCTCATACTAAAGAGTACAAGAAAGAAAGAAGAATTGGGGGCAGTCAGTGGTGGGACAACAGGCTATCAAGAGTTTCGCGTTTGAGCTTGTGCAGGGACATATTTAGGCCGACATCTCTTGCCAACTCACCTATGACTCGTTCCATGTATAACACATAGACCCCATTTCTGCTTTCCAAAATTTGTAATGCCTTGCGTGCGTGAACCATTGATGCTACCCATTCTTCAAAGACCACTGCAGTATCACCACAATCATCAAAATTATTTCTCCGGTCAGTCAATATGCCTATGCTTGATCTAAGACAATCTATCTAGTAAAAGAAAATGTTTTGCAATATGTCTGCAACGTAATCTGCATAGCTGCATTATATTTCCTTAAATTTCTTTGTACAAAAACGGGTGCTATGCATGCTTATGCTATGTCACAGGGGTTTGTGAAATTCTGTTTGGTTTGGAATGATCTTGGAATTGTTCAAATTCAATCTGGCGTGAGACCCAAAAACAAAAACAAAACCAAAAAGATTCTTAAAGCTTGTGAAATGCGTAGCAATTAAGAGAGTAACTCACTGGTGTCAAAACCTTCATCCTTTGACCATTCTGATAGGTAATCGGATACCAAAAACTCTGTAAGCTGGATCCTGTCATACGCATAAACAGATGAGAGAGGTTAATTTAAACTTATTACAAGAAAGTCATATCAGAAACTCATTTCACTGGGAAGAGATGTATGTGGTCACAGTTCAAGATTATTAAAACAAGTTCCCTACACCCTCTAGAGAAGTGTGGCCAATTAGATTGCATAAAAATTTCATGTGGTTTACCATCAGAAAATATAATTTTCCGCATAAGGTCCTAGCCACTCTATAACTTGGCAATAATAGTGGCTGGTAGAAGTTAGAACAATCCACTACAAAGATAATGCAGGTTAAAATTATGCAACTGACTCAGTAACCATCCACAATTTTGCAGACTCAATGGAAGAAAAGCGAAGAGGGTAGGATGCCTTCTTGTCTAGTGAACTAATGAATCTCTAACAGATTTTGGCCACTCAAAGGAGGAACCTGAACTTTCTATTGTGACGCCTTTCTATTCAAATATTGGGATTATAGATGCTCGAACTAGGTTTTGTACCCAAATTGTTGAGGAATATGAGGATGCTGGATTCAATTAATAGTTCTCATGTTTAAATGTTACTGAAAAGCAAGTTGGGTTTCAGGCCCTAGTGCATAAATTTTTTTACAAAACCAATGAAAAAATTGGAGAGATGATCAGTCAAGAATGTATTTTGTAGAATACTTACAGCATGAACATGCATTGATGCATGTTTGTAAAAGCATCATCAAATGGATCTGCGAAAAGGAAATTCTCTGCAAGAACAGAGATTCTCTGAGTTACTAAGAATAATGCACGTTGACCAATGTAGGGCTCACTTCCAAGCTTTCGGATCAAGTGCTGAACGAAAAACTGAGCATCAGGTTCAGAGTGTTTTGATGCTGGAACAAATGATTAGTAATATAATTAGAGAAATGATATATTAACAATCAAAGATAAAGCGTAAATGTAAGATCATATTATCCTTGAAAAAGGAAATTATAGCCAGCCATAATGCAATATGATGAATGGTGAATGCCATCATAGGGTGACAAAAATATACAATTTTAATTAATTTTAATATATGCAGGAATATAATGCTGAAAATATTAACAGAACCCAACCACAAACAACAGTTTACCGTTTCCTTGCAAGGGGCAACACATCCTTCTAACCAAACGTGTGATTAAGCTGCTGATAATTCCTTCTATGAGTTCCACATTCATTGCCACTGATAACAGGTTCTTCAATGAAGCTTCAAGAAATAGACATAATGCATTTAGAAAAATATATACAAGTAAAGGTGGCAGGTGATGGAAACACTGCAACCTGGAAAAGGCAAAGAGAAACTTAAGAGATAACAGGGCATTCCCACACTGCCCAAATTATTACCCACAATCACGGATGTTCCATGTGGTTATGCTAAACAAACCCAAAATGAAGCTCAATGTATCTTCCAGAATCTAAGCAAAAATTTCAGCAAGATTCTTGAGACCTTTATACTTAATTTGTAGTTTGTTTTCCTGCGTTTATAGTCAACCTATTATCTAGATATATCTTTTTATTTTGACTATGGAATAATTAAAAAAGTATAATCCCCTTCAGAAACACTCTTATCAGAATTAAAGAATACAACTAAACGAGGTTAAAAATTTGGATACATTAATTCAGTGAGTCTACTCTATAGATAGCATTAATTTGGAGAATTCTCAGAATGTAGATACCATTAAACTCAGATAATCAGAAGGAAGAAATAAAAAATTTGCTACCTAAAATAAAGTCTGCAGCTTGGTGCGACCAATTTGCAACATTGGCCTCCTCCACCTGAAATTCCAATAGATCAAAGTTAAAATGAAAAGGTATGATTACATAAACACCGCAATAAAAGTAAGATGTGGATCTAACAGGAGAATTAGTTTCACAAAGCTCCACAAGAAAATCGACTGAGGCCCTAAGCTGCTCCATTTCATCTTCACTGTTTATGTCTGCACTAGAAATTACTAAATGCATCAAACCAGATTATACAAAAGCAAATAAATTATATTTTTAAAAACCCTAAATTGCTAAGCTCCTATATATTCAGTCACAAAATGGATGAATTATATGCCAGAATAAGGGTAGGTATAACATATATTAGGATTATTAGCCAGAAAATTAAATTAAAGCCAAATAGGAGTATAATTTGAGTTACACAAGTTGATCATAATTATGTATTCACCTGCAAAATGGTGTCGCTGGGATGAACTACTTGTTCTTCTTCTCCTTTCCTTAAAACGTACTGTGATTTTATTTTATTTTTTGAAGAAAAGCAGTTGTTAGAATTAAAGAAGTGCATGCATTATGCAGAGTTGATCAGAATACGAGAAAGAGGATGCGTTGATGAGGACCAACCGTGTCTGAGAAATCTGCGTCGCAAGACATCATTGAATCTGCACTGAGAAGGATCTGGAAGCCGCTTATTAGGGCTTAGTCTCCCCAAATTATCAAAGAAATAACACTTGCAAGAAGCGCTTTGCGGGAACAAGTCACACTGCGAAGCATCTGAAACCGAAAAGACAGTACAAGCTTATGCATAAACCTGTTAATTAAGTATTAATCACGCATGAAGAAAATGAGATAGAGAGGCTTCTTTGAGATCTTGTCGGAGTCTCAAAAGCTCTTGCTTTCGCTCCTTAGCCTGAAGTACAACTCAGTTAATTAGGTTCCGAAAGCAATTTAACAAAAATTGTGATCGAATCGGAAGGTGTGTGCGTTGAAAGAGACGAGAGAGACCTTTCGCTTCCATCGGAGAGTGTCGGATTGATCAACAGGAGGAGGAGGAGGCTGCTTTTGCTGCTTTTGAAGAAGCTTTGATCGGAGAAGAGAAATGGCTACGGCTACCCTCAGCGACTGCTCCTCCGCCCCTGACTTTGTTGTTCGCTCTTGTTCGCTGCCTGACATTCTCTCTCACTCGGGCCAATCTCGCGGGAAAATTCGCTCTTATTTTACTTTCTATTTATATTTTTGGTTTTTTATCACAAATGGTCCTTTGGGTTTACAAAATTATCACGAATCGTCCTTCAGGTTTTTTTGTGACACTAATAGTCCTTTAGGTTGTCATCCACCCATCAAAATGGTCCTTCTGTTAGTTTCTGTTAAAACTGAAGTTAAATTCACATGTTCAGCCTGCTTTGTGAAATACTAATCTCATCATTCCACTCAACTTTCGACCAAACCCAACTGTCAGAACCCTTTCCCTCCATTTCCTCATGGTCCTTCCATTTTGGCGCCCCTGTAGAATATAACCAATCAAAAAAGTAAACTTCTGAAGAAATTGAAACAATCCAAGATCAAGAGAAAGACCAACAATGGAACTCCAGAGAAAGACCAAACTCATGGATCAATTGAAAAATAGAAGTCCTGCAAATTCATTATCCATGGCACATCAAATACAGAGTCCTCAAAAAACCATTGAACCACATCAGTACTCAAAAAACCAGTGCACCACATCGAAGACATCAATCTTGAGCAAGTCCTAACACAATATATCAAAACAAATTCCCAAATCCTAACACAATACATCGAAATGAACTTCCCATACAATACATCAAAATGAACTTCCAAGTCCTAACTCAAACTCTCCATGGTCTTCCTCTTTTTGCTGGAGACTTAAGTCTTTTTTGCTAGGTTTGTGGTGTCGTGCCTTGGTTTGTTGAAGAAGGTTGTGAAAGAGGAGGCTGTGAACCCACTTTTGGTACTGATGTTATATACTGCAGTTTAGAGCGCCAAAATGGAGGGAAAGGGTTCTGTCAGTTGGGTTTGGTCGAAGGTTGAGTGGAATGATGCGATTATTATTTCAAAAAGCAGGCTGACCATGTGAATTTAAGTTCAGTTTTGACAGAAACTAACATAAGGACCATTTTGATGGGTGGATGACAACCTAAAGGACTATTAGTGTCACAAAAAAACCTAAAGGACGATTCGTGATAATTTTGTAAACCTGAAGGACCATTTGTGATAAAAAGCCTATATTTTTTAAAAGCCATTTGTTGAAAAGTCATGGTTTTACGAGGGATTTCTAAATAAAATGACATTCAAATCCAAACATTTACCGACTGGGCCCATATTCTTTTGTATTGTATAGGGCCATGCTTCTTTATGTTTTGTATTTGGATATCTTTACAGCATGTTTGCTTACTATAAATTGAAACGTCGAACTTAAAGAGTAGGGAAGTAAGAGCTATTAGAGTCTAGGAGAAAGTGTCTTGACTTGTAGATTTGTGTTGCAATTTAAACTATCATTTATATTAAAAAAAGAGTAAAGAAATAAGAAATTAGAATCTAATAAGCTATTCTCTTAGTTAACTTAATTCCTAGATTTGAGGAGCATTTGATTACATATTGGAAAAAACTTGGCTCCTCATCCTTCTTTACTATCAATGTTGTTTTGATACTCTTTAAACCCTATTTAATTAAACTCCTCAATTTTAAGGAGCCAGATACTTGTCAAATTTCTTTAAACCCTATTTAATTAAACTCCTCAATTTTAAGGAGCCAAACAATGCTATTTTAAGTAGCGCTATTAGAAATGTCAGGCCTAAAATTAAAAAATAAAAAAGAAAGTACCATGTGACTGTTTACGTGAATAGACCTTTTCAATTATTATTATTATTATTCTGGTTAATATGAATTTTTATTTAATCAATAATGGCTCTCCGTGGCACTTGAGACATTTAACTTTTTTATTGTTGGGCGAGCAGATTCAATGAGATCCAGTTACACAACATACGTCTACGAAAAAATTGAAAAGAGAGAAAAATTAGCATTGAAATCCAAACGAAATATGCTCGGAACCAATTTCCTTTGATAGTGGAATATAAAGACAAGGCATTTATGAGCTGGCCAAGTTTAACAATGAACTAAATTTAATTAGTCAAGAAGAGAACAAAAGGAGACGAAACAAAACTAGTCAAGTACAAAACAACTGGATCCTTTTGAAGGGACACTCTCCACCTTGAGCAAATTTAAATATAACACGTGATTAGCCATCCACATCTCCAGAGCAAAATCCATGGCATTATGATTTGATTTCTTTCCTCAATAAACACACTACTATGACCTCGGGAAATATACAACTCAAATTAAAAAGAAAAAAAATACCTGTCCTGTCCTTGGCATCTCCACCTTATCACATCTATTGTAATACAAATCACTCACCCAAAAAAGAGAGGGTGCAGGGTAACGGCGTCGCAAAGAGGTGAAGCACAAGCACAAGCACATGGAGTTCGCACCCCTACAGAAACTCACGTGCTCATGCGAAGCTGTTCGAGGCTTTCTAAAATAGACTCCGGCAGGCATCAATATCAGACGCTTGAGAATCCAACACACCTTGCCCAGACGAACTAGAACTAACAACCTTCAGTCCTGCCTCTAATATAGCTCTCTGGAAGTAGTCGTCATCCACCTCCTTCAGGACCTCTTTCACCACCTTAAAATCCAAGCCTCCAACCAAAATTAATTTCCCTATAACTTCACCAAAGTTACTCGGTGCTTTTGGCAGATCAATGCCAACATCATTCAGGATAGATGCATACAATAAACATCCACTCCTTATGTCACTAGCTGTAAACACCTTCTTAGAAAACAAATACTCCAGAAGCTTCACAAGTGATTCAACACAGGGTCGACTTTTCTCTAGTGCAAGGGAGATAGCTTCCTTGACAACCTCAGGGTGGTACGCTGGAGATCTTAGCTCCTCCACACACAGTAATGCTTCATCTAAGAGTCCAACACTGAAATATTCCTCCAAAAGGGAGACTGTTTTTTTCTTAAGCTCGTCCTGTTTCAACTTTGGAGCTGGAGCTGAAGCTTGTGGCTTTTCAGTAAGTGGTGATATAGATGGAGCAACAACAGGTCTAGCAGACACAAGCGCTTGAGCTACAGGCTCTGCACCAAAAGCATAGTTGGATGGACGAGCAGGAGGGCCACCACTACCCTGCAATAAGGCACTAGGCCTATTACTGGTAAGGCCACCACTACCCTGAGGTAACAGTCTTGTGTTCGCTGATGTTGATTTTCCAATGAATGGCAACTGGCCACGTCCAGCAGCATCACCTCGTGGCATTGATCGATTCCTAGGGACCTCCCAATCGTCATTATCTATTCCAGGCATCCCAGGCATCTTCCTTGTTCCTGGCATTCCAGGCATTCCAGGCATTCCAGGCATCATACCCCCTAAACCAGTTCGGTTGTTTGGGAAACCCCCAGGACTGGTATTCCCTTGAGCACCAGTAACGTTGTTACGACCACTTCTGATGCTTGCAGCAGCACCCGGACGCAATCCAAGATTTTTCTCTGCCTCCGTATGTATTTCAGAAATGGTTTTGGCTTTTACCTGTAACCAAAGTTCAAAATAAGATGATTAGTAGTTAAATAACACCACCTCTCCACATATATTACAAGAGTCAACTACACATGTATTTCAGCATGCCAGTCAAATACATATATTACAACAGCCTACCTCTTCACGCCTGGGAACCCAGTTGTTGGCCCGCAAATCAAGTACATCACGAACCATGAACCTCAACCTTGGAGCCAATTGAGGGTTTGTTGTCAGTTCCTTCAATCTGCTGAAGTACAAATCATTTATACGGCGTGATTTTGGGCTCTCGTCAAGCTGCTTACCAATAGTGTTAAAAAAATGACATATGGCCTCCACATTTTCCTCAGCAGGACAAGTTCTGTTATCAGCTCCTAAAAGTTCCTGTTTCACATAACAAATAACCATGAATAACATATTTAAGAAAAGTCGCTGATCAAGAAAGGGCTAGAAAAGAGGGAATACAAGACGAACCGCAACAATGTGATGTACAATCTTTTCAGGTACCATCTTCTGTTTCAGAAGCTCTCCAATTAAACGAATGTTTCCCAGTGTACGAATCTTGGCCAATCTTTCTTTATCCCTACGCTCCATCTCTTGTTCAGGGGCAGTCATCTGCCTCACTTCTTCCCTCAATTTGTCAGCACCATCAAAAGCCTCCTGGCAGTTATTCAAGAGGACACGCTTGAAAGTGATTTCTTTTCCATCTGGTTCATCTGAGGGGAACCGGGGAAGCTTTTCATTAAGATCAGAGCACAGAAGAGCATACATGGGACAAAATGTAGGTTCCAGCACAGCCTTATCAAATATCAGTGAAATAACCCCCTGGAATGCAAAGAAAACTGTGAGTACAGTTGACAGCAGTAACAAAACAGAACCGAAAGAGAACATTAGAAGGGCATATCAATAAAGAAATCAAAATCAACACCTTTAAGATATCAGCTGATGTAATGCCAGAGTCAATAAGTTGCCCTTTAAGGAGATCAAACTTCTCTGGGGTCAGCTTGTTCAGTATCCTACATAGATAAACATAAAGCAAGTGGGATTAAACACAATGTTTTGAGGACAACTCAGTCTACAGAAAAAAAGATAATCAAACCATGGCAACTTGGGAAGCAAAGGACCCCTAGACAGTCTTTATTGGGAGATAATGAGACAGAGAATAGTATTTTCATATTTCAGCATCCGTTATCATTTTCCGAGTTGCGTGTTTTAATCCCACGATCAAACAGATAACAAAAAGGCTTTCAAGGCTCAAGTTATCCAGGGAGCGAGAAAATAATGAAGATATAATACAATACAATGAACTGTCGTGATATATTACCCCTTCACAGTCTTCAACACACGGTCCTTATCAGATAGGGTACCCCTTCTAGCTGACCATGGCACCTCAGCTTTGGTTAGAGCAGGAGCAGGCCCTCCCTGAAATAATGAGGAAACAGCGCCATCAGAAATGAAGCACAGTCAACACTGTCCTTGTATGCAAGTACATTAGGTACACATACAAAACTGAGGACAGATATTAAATGTACAATTTATCACATGATTAATAAAGTAACAAAACAATCATGCCAAAATACATGTATAATTACACTGACCATATTTGAAACCCTAAACCCTAAACCCTTACCCCTTGGTTGGAAGAGTTCTGTGTCCTTGCAAATTGAGGTTGATTTGCTTCTTGTTGTCTGTAATCA